CAACGTACTTCCACAAACTATAGTTAAAATATACTGCACAGTATACGTATAACCAAAGTAATACCACCAAAAGATCAGAAATTTACCCAAGGAACAAACTGCCTTTTGGAATAACCCCGAAAAAATAACGCACTTGCCACCACTATCTCTGCGTTTGGTCCTCACGCGCCACCGCCACGCGGCTCCTAACACCAACACGCGCCTGATCGGACGTTTCGTCTCAACCTGCTGAACAAGGATCTGGTCTCCATTTTCTTAATGGATCTCCAGTTTGGTCGGAATCTTGATTTTAAGTTGCCGTCGAATAGGTTTTTCATACAAACTTTCTTTGCCTGATTTCTATCTTGATTTCAGCACGACCCAAACAGAAATTTCACAAATTTCACTCAATTATAGGCTCTGATACCATGATAACAATATAATGAATCTCAAACCAATATGTTGAATCAATTCAAAAAGAAGAAAAGAGAAGAGAAGGAGAAGAAGAATAAAGAGAGAACCAAAATCTATTGAGCCATCAAAATTAGGTTTTCAAAGAAAGTAAAAAACAGTTTTTATACTACTACAAAGAAACCTAAAAATAGTAGGAAACTTACAATAATAGGAAATTACATATTATACTAAAATAAATAACTAAAATAACACACGTTTTCATGTAAGACCCCCTGTTGGAGAAGCATTTTCCATAAATAATCACCTCCCCCATTTTCATCTTGAACAACAACCAACCACACACACTAAAAAGTAGTAAGAAACTATGGCCTGCAATAACCTGAAAACAATTATCATTAACGGGGAGAATTTTCATGCGACTTCTGAGTCATTAAACTCATTCACAAGACTAGGTTTTGCAATGCACTCACAAACTGATAGAGGGTGCTCAGCAATAGGTCATAATACGATGAATTCACACGAAATTGGTTCCAGAAATCCAAAAAGAAGTTCGGACATTTTGAGGTTTATTGATCAAGTTGAAAAAACATTAGCAAGTTCAGGAAAATTTGGGAGGTTTGGAGGAATTGTTGTGCCAGAGACACTAATTACTTGTTTAAAGAAGCTTGAAGCTGAATTCAATTTGGTTTTACATGATCCTGAGTTTCAGGTTTGTCGAAATATTTTCATGTAAATGCAGATGTTTACAAGTGTCTACAAAATCAGCCAGTTCAGTCTGCTTTTGGTGTAATATCTTAAGTTTGGAAAGAAAAAGTCAAACAAAAAAATAAAAACAAAAATAAAAGATAAAAGACAAAAAAAAATGGCAGGCGGTGAAACTCAAACCAATTCATTATAAATCTATCCAAAACCATTTGATAACAAGCACGCAGAGAGAAATAAAAACAGGGAGAAAGAAAGAGAAAAAGAGAAAGAGAAGAGAGAATGAAGGAAAAAAAAAATTCGCCAACGTGTTAGGAATTAAGTGTTCTATACTATTAAGCTTGAATTCCTCAATTTGGAAAGGTAAGTAAAAAGTTACTTATTGTTAAGTTATGTTTAATTTTATAGTTGTTAAATTGTTAGATTAAATTCAATTTTATCGAAGGGGTTAAATATAATAAACTATGAAATTGAGTAAAATGAAAGAAAAATTAGTTTTAGTAATTAAAGAGACTTTAGAAATCGCCTAAACATGAAATAATTAAGTTTGGGTATTGCCTATTTAATTATTGAAATTACTTAAAATAGTTAATTGTTAATTTAAAAATTATATTATATTTCAGGCGACGATACGGATACCGGATTAGCGTACCAATCAAGTTGATTTTGGCATACATAGTTCTGTGAGTGGAAAATATAAATATTTTTAAAGTATTTATAAATTAAATATATTATCAAAATATGTGCAATTATGTGTTCGATTATATGATTATTATGAAAATCTCTTTTATTATGATACATGTGGAATCTCAAGGATTATTTATTATACATTTGTGACTTGGTATATGAGACATATGATATTGAGATTTATTTGGTATGTGAGACGTGATATTGAGATCGACGAGAAAAGTACCCGTGATTATGTACTTCTTCTAGTTCATAGAGGGGCATTGACCATGTTCTATACTACACTGAGGGGTCGATTGGGGATGAAGGGGTCGTGACGTGACCGTGTATATATAGTTCACTGAGGGCCTTGATCGTGTTCTAGAATTGATTATCAGAGGTCTTGAGACCCGCTTTCGTTCACAAAGGGGCCAAAGACCCGTGGCAAAAGTTCTTAGCCCGATGGGCGGATTATATATTTCAGTCAGAAAGTACATTTTTGGTGAATTTTTCAGCATATTTGATGTGATGAGATTATAGCATGGTTATCAGCTGATATTCATATCATGATTTTAAGATGATATTTTATGACCTTATGTAAATATTTCACTTTTTGGCTATAGTTACATAATGGTAGCTTGTGAATTATCAAATGATATGAATTTGATTTTCAATAAAAATGTATAAATGAAAAGTATATTTGTTTTGAATTTCTCCACTCACTGAGCTATCAACTCATATATTTTTCCACGCATTTCCTTATCAAGCAGCAGTTGAGAATCTGAGCATCTTTTGGAGTTGAGCCTTGATTTTGGAGTCAGAGCCACACGACAGAGTTTGTTAGTATGACTCACTTCATAGAACATGTAGTCAGTATTTTAGGACGCATGTTCATGTCTAGATGTGATTTTACATCACTTGTAGATAATTATTGGGCTCATTATATATTTTGTATTCATATGTACATTTCATTTTATTTCTTGGTAAAGGTTGAGGTTTCGGTTTATCTTTATTGTGTTGTGTTATAATTTGGGATTTGTGTAAAATTGATCACAGGTTGGTTAGTCTTGTTTACATGGGAGATAATGTCGAAATTTTGTTAGAAAAATGATGTATAAAAAGTGATATATTGTATTTGTAGTAGCCTTGATAGTGGGTTCGACTTTTAGTTGGTATCTATCGTCGGCGCATGCCACGTCCGAATCCAGTGTTGTTACACGGGGCGGGATGTGTCAGTTTTGTATCAAAGCATGCATTAGAGTCCATGGGTTTGTATTGTACATACATACATTCTGATGTTTAGCATATCATGCATAACTGTAGGTGAGTCATGCCTCGTGGTGGCAAAACTCGAAGGATCCAAGATATGTTGCCCCAGTCTCACATTGCTCCTAATAGAGATGAACTGAGAGAGCCTGAGAAGGTAGGAGAATCAGTTCACCAACCTCCTGAACAACGGGGACAGAGAAATGTGATTGGAACTGATCCTATGGCTGTTGAAAGAATTGCTATTGCTGTTGCATCTGCTATAATACCGACAGAGGTTTTAGTATTGAGAGGGCTACAAAGTTAGGGGCTAAAGTTTTCACTGGCACAGTCGATCCTGCAGTTGCACAGGCAAGGATAACCAAGATAGAGAGGGTATTTGATGTTATGGGTTGCTCAGACGATCGAAAGTTGTGGCTTGCCACTTTCTTATTAGAGGAGGGTGCATATGATTGGTCGCAGTCGGTACGGAGTACATATCTAGACCCTTCCATCATTACTTGGATAGATTTTCGTCGTATCTTTTACGATGCCTATTATCCTCGGTCCTATAAAGATGCAAGGCAGGATGAATTTTTGAAGTTAGTACAAAGGTAGATGACAGTTGCAGAATATCAGGTGAAATTTATTGAACTTTCAAAGTATGCCCAAGTTCTGGTAAACAACGAAATTGGTAAATGCAGACGATTTGAAAATGGGTAAAGGGAAGAAATCCAGTCAGTAGTAATAACTGCAGGCTGGAATGTATTTGGCAAATTGGTGGAATCAGTTTTGAGAGTAGAAAAGAGCATTTCTAATAAACCAGGTAGTAGAGAACAAACAATAATTAGAGCAAGCAGTAGTCAGACAATGTAAAGTGCTTCTAGCTGTAGACCACCACGGAGAGACAATAGAGGATTTCGACCTGGTGTATCCAGTTCAGGTTAATTCAAATCTCGATTTCAAGAAAGTCAGGGTCTTAGATTCAGTCCCAGTACTGTACAATAGCCATTAGCTAGTTGTAATTATACTCAGGGTTCTTCCCAGAGATCATTTACTACGAGACAGGGAGAGAGTTCTACTAGTGCCAAATTTTCTTTTTGCCAATTATGTGGAAGATCCCATCCTGGAGAGTGCTTATAGTTCAAAGGAGTTGGTGTTTGCTATCGCTGTGGCCAAGAAGGACACCTGAAAAGGAACTACCCAGTTGTATTCCAGAAGGGTGGCATGGCACAGAGGATGTTTCCTCAACAGAGTGCTGGTAATACAAGACAGAATTAGACTCGGAGAGATGATTCAACTAACAGAGCAGGTGCAAACAGTGTGACCCAGTCTAATATCGCAAGCGATAGTGGTACAAAATCAAAAGGGCAGGCAGGACGATCGAAGACCCAAGGGAAGATTTTTGCTATGACTCAATAGGCGACAGAGGAATCACCAGATGTTATCATGGGTATGTTGTCTATTTTTGATAGAAATGCTCATATTTTGATTGATCATGAATCTATACATTCTTTTATGTAATTTGCATTTGCTTTATATATGAATCAAAAGTCAGAACCTCTAGGCAATTGTTTGGTAGTGAATACACCAGTAGGAGAATCACTATTGGAAAACAATATATATCGAGATTGTGGGATTAAGGTAAAGGAGAACGAGTTGAAGGCAAATTTAATACCTCTTGACATACATGATTTCAATGTTATCTTGGGTATAGACTTTCTGGCCACAAACCGAGCTTCAGTTGATTGCTTTTGAAAGGAGGTTGTGTTTAGACAGCCATGATAGCCTGAAATTATATTCAATGGACAGCGCAGAATTTTACCGTCTTGTGTGATATCTGCTATTGACGCTAGAAGATTACTCAACAAGGGCTGACATGCATATTTAGCTCATGTGATTGATATAGATGTTAGTGAACTAAAACTTGAAGACATCCCAGTGGTCAAAGACTTTCCTGATGTATTTTCAGAAGAATTACCAGGCTCAGAGATATGGAGTTCACTATAGATCTGATTTCAGAAACTGCACCTATTTCACAGGCACCCTATAGAATGGCACCAGCAGAATTGAAAGAGCTAAAGGTTTAGTTGCAAGAATTGGTAGACAAAGGTTTAATCAGACATAGTATATTTTCGTGGGGAGCATCAGTTTTGTTTGTGAAGAAGAAAGATGGCACCATGCGACTGTGCATAGATTACAGACAATTGAACAAAGTGACAATTCGTAATAAATATCATTTGCCACGTATTGATGATCTGTTTGATCAGCTTCGCGGTGCTATAGTATTTTAAAAAATTGATTTGCGTTCTGGATATCATCAACTTAAAATCAGGGACAGTGATGTGCCAAAAACTGCTTTCCGAACAAGGTATGGTCATTTTGAATTTCTTGTGATACCATTTGGGTTGACCAACACACCAACAACATTTATGGATATGATGAATAGTGTTTCGCCCAATGTAGATAGATTTGTGATTGTATTCATCGATGATACTTTAGTATACTCTCATAATCACGATGAGCACAT